AAAAAAAAAAAAAAAAAAAAAAAAAAAAACATGACTACAGTTTAAACTTTAAGTTTAAACTTAAAATTAAAGTTTAATTCAAAATAAAAAATACATTTGTATTTCATCAACTAAATGAAAAGTTCTCATTTTCAATTAGTTGATGTACTAAAATAAATAAAACTGAAAAAACAATAAAAAATATAGATAAAATGAATTAAAAATCACACACTTAGAATAAAGAATTAAAAAAATTTAAACTGACAACATTTTAAAAAATGTAAACTAAAAATTTAAATTAAAAACAGTTTAAAATTAAAGTTTAGTTAACTTAGTTAACTTTATTTCATCGACTAATTGATAATTTCTCATTTTCATTTAGCTGATGTACTAAAATAGCAAACTAAAAATTACATATTTCAAAACAAGAACAAATAAAAATGACAAAAACACATACATACAAAAACCAAAACTGAAAATACAAATATAAATCCGGTTTTAAAATATTAATAAAAACTATAATAATATATAAATGATACTAAAATAACACTGGTGGTATCTTTTTTTTAAACTCCACTAGGTGCTCAGTGCTCAGAAAAATAACAGCACAAATCAATGAATTATCAAATCAAGTGTATGCTTAATAATACTTCAAATCCCAAACTCTCACAGCATGAGCAATACAAGCAGTTATGTTTGCTTCATCATTACATGACATTATGATCACTGACATTCTTATACAAACAGAACTGAGCGAACGCTTTAATGTGCTTTGATGACTGTTGCGGTGATAATAACGGAACTGAGGTTGGCAGAGAGTCTTTGGTTTATTTGGCCTATTTAGGACGTCTGATTTGGACAGAAAGTGACGAGCGCAGTGGAAATGATGCATGTGTGTGAGTACAAAAAGCCAAAAGCCGTCAAAAGCTTTTCCTTCCTCTGTTTGACATTTTCAAGTGGGTGGCACTTGAGGTTACGAGACACTGCGTGGAACAAAACACACCCAATAAACACCGCTTCTGACACACACACACACACACACACAGAGACACAGACACACACACACACACACACACACACACACTGTGTTTATTCAACCATTTAACTGTTTATTGATATTTGAAATTTTTTATATAATTTGTCTGCAAAACAAAAGTCATGTGGTGAGACCAACAAACATGCAGAACCCTGCAGATGAAATAAATAAATAAATACATACATACATAGGAAAATAAATAAACTTCTAATGATATAATTTGACCTTTTATGACAACACAAGTCACATGACAAAAGAACAGCATTTATTTGAAATTTAATTTCGAATAAATTAAGTTATAATTAAGTAAACGTATTTACATTTATGAATGAATGAATTAAAATTTCATTTGTAAAAATAACAACAACTATAATAATTTTTACTTTAAAACTATTGTATTAATAACATTTTTTTAAAATAATGACTAAGATGATATTTTTTTACTTAAATAGTAAAAAAATAGACAGTTTGTGGTGCATTTATTAAAAAACTTAATTACATTTATGAATTAATTAATGAAATTACATTTGTTTACTTTAGGAATAAAAATGTAAAAACAAACAAAAATTATTTATTTAATGATTATAACATTTTATTGATGGTTACACCACATTTATTTATTTAACTGCTTCACTGCTTATTAATCAAAAAAGCCATGTAAACGTCAAATAAATCATATGATTATCATATAATTATCATTATTATATAATTTGACCCTTCTATGACAACTACGATGTGTCATTACTTTTTACTTGATGGTTAAACCACATGACATTTTTTTCAAAATTATTTGTATGATTACTTTTCTTAGCAAAGCGGACAATAACATTATGGGTAAACCACACACAAAAAAAACCTAAGCAACATCCTGGAAACCACCCAAAACAACCTACAGCATCACACTAGTGAGGGTTGCACAGGAAGAACAACATTTTTCCTTCAGAAAATGCAAAAATCTAGTTATCTTTGCCAGGCAAGAGGAAAACCAGTGTGGACCAGTGTTGATTATGTACGGCAGTGTGTGTGTGTGAGGTTAATACACCACTGCATTCTGATTGATGTGGAAGTGCTTCCTCTATGCAGATAAGCATGCAGTAGAATCCTCATATTAATGTGAAATTATTCTAATTGCTGCAGAGCCAATGATGTTCCTCCCCTCCATTCCCATCAGCCACAGCCCTCGCTCTCCTCACACACACAACTCATTTCTGCAGCCAGCCTTTCTCGCTGCATCCATTTTGTCTGTCTCTGTCTGTCTCAGGTAGAGAGCAGCTCTCGTCAGCCATCTCCAGTCGATCGGATCTCCTTTAGGTCAAAAGGTCTCGCGCATCACTAAAGGTGCATCAGCACCAGGTCAAGCGCCTGCTTCACTAAAGACCACACATGACACGAGAGAGCCAGAAAGAGAGACTGCATGTAGAGGATGTAGGTTTCAGTGGCTCTGTGGACTAAAAACACAAGCTCTACTTTCAACAGGGGGGGTTTCATGCCTCAAATCCAAACTGCGCTTAGTTTTTAATTGTTTGCAAAAATTCTTTATATTTCAGATATTTTTTCAGGGTAATGTATCTTGTTTTTTAATTATATATAACAAATATATGATTAAAAAAAAAAAATTTTTATACATAAATTAGTGCTGGGCAACGATTAATCGCATCCAAAATAAAAGTTTTTGTTTACATGATATGTGTGCGTGTACTGTGTATATGTATTATTATGTATATATAAATACAAACACATATACAGTATATATTTGGAAAATAATTACATATATATATATATTAATATAATTTACATTATATATGAATATATTTAATATATAAACATCATATATTTTTCTTAAATATATACTGCATATGTGTGTATTTATATATACATCATAATAAATATACACAGTACGCGCACACATATCATGTAAACAAAAAGTTATATTTTGGATGCGATTAATCGTTGCCCAGAACTAATATAAATGAATACATCCAGACACACACATCACACACTATCAAATAGAAAACACATTTAAAAAAGAAAGAAAGAAAAAAATATGTATAGCAGCATGTAAAAAAACATCAACATTATCACTACAGTTAAATGAACAGCTAATCTCGATTCATTTAATTCAGTCCTATACATGTGTAACACAAGCCCTTCATGTGCCAACTGCTGAGTCTGCTTTCTTTCTTTCTTTCTTTCTTTCTTTTTTCAGAGCTCCTATGTGAGCAGATTGTCTGTATTTTCCTCTGTTTTTGTCTTGTCCATCCTCACACCGTTCCCTCTACCGCAGCGCTGAGGGTGAAGGAGAGGGGAGTTTAGTTTAGCATCTTCTCTCGATGTGGAATCATACTGTAAGCTATCTGACACGAGCTGCTTTCCACTTACTTTCTGACACAACATAGATACAACTAATGTAAAAACAAAAATAAAAAACTGATTACTGGCGTGTTTTCCAAGAGAACAGTTTTGGGTAACACTTTATTTTAAGGTGTCCTTGTTACACATGTTACATTTATTTACTATTATAATAACAATTAATTGCATGCAAGTAACCCTAAACCAACCCTAATCCTAACCATATGGTAAGTACATGTAGTTAATTAATATTACTCAGTACTTATATGTATAATTACACTGTAACAATGACACCTTAAAATAAAGTGTAACCTCAGTTTTTCCACATAAAAATGTCATGTTTAATTCAATGTGCTACTTGTCATCTCTTTATAATTATTTGTGAAATTTACTAGCAATTTCAGACACTTAATTTCATGTTAATTGTTATTAAATGAAAATGCATTATAATTTAAATTTATATTATTAAATGCAATTCGCTGAACTTCATGGTGCAAGTACATCTTTATATGTAATTTCGTAATTACTTGTATTGCCAATAAAATATGGTTAAAGTACAGTCAGCATTTATGATAAACTGAAATATACTTCTGTTGAAACTTGTATGTTATGCATTTAAATATATTTGTAATGGCAGGCTGTCATTTAATACATTCAAAATATATTACATTTAAATGCAATACTGAATAACACACTACAGTTAAATTATAATCAGGTACTTTACATGTGCTTTAGTATGCTAGAAGTGTACTTCTTTAAAACACGATAACATGTTATTAAAACACATTTTAATTTGACGTAATTACAAAGTTTAAAAGTCTACTTAAGTGCGTTAAACACTCATGAAAGTGGCTCTCTTTAAGTGGTGTTTTAGTTCACTAATATTATTATTTAAATATTATTTCATTAATATTATGCTATCTGCAAGTACAGTTTAATACATTTTTTAAGATTTGAAGTACACTACAAGTGCACATTCAATACAATTAAGCACACTTTTTTAAAAAAGCATTTTAAAGCTGTTCGGAAACAAAAGCAACACCACTATTGTCGCCTTCTAAGATACTTAAAACAACATTGCTTGTATCTCTTACAGAGACGGCAATCCCAGAATGCACTGCATGGCAGACGAAATTCAGAAAAATGTTGACTATAAATATACTATGAAGTAACACTAAAAACAGTTCAATCTAATTCCAAATGGAGTATTTCTCACAGTATTTGTGTTAGCATTGTTGCTAACGTGTTTCAATTGACTCTATTAGTATGCTGCCTACTGAGATAACAGACAGCAAGGCAGCTGCTAAAGCACGAGGTTTAGGAGCAGAGCTAGTGTGCACTTCAAAACCAGCGGCTCGCTGTTGTTTTTCCTCACATTTCCTGACGATAATGACTTGCATACGTGTGACATTCAGGAGCCTGATGCCAGGCTGAGTGTAATTTAGCTGCTGCGTGTGATCTGTGGTGCATTGTGGGAGTTGGGCCCACCTCAAGTGACCTGACGATAAACAGAAGACGGGGCAGAAGCAGCAGTTTTAGGTCAGTCAGGACGTCCAGCTGTGTTGAAGACGACTGTATCTGCTAATAAGGCAGAGCGACAGTAACTGCAACAAGCCTTTAAAACACCTGTAAAACATTTTAAACACGCTTTTTAAAGCGTTCACAAGCCCCTCGCTCCCCTTAACGGCTCTGTTGCACTTCCTGACATTAACATTTAAACGAGCTCCTCCAGCGGCCTCTGAGCCGGGACGGATCTGGGTTTCTTAAAGCAAGCGGCATACACATCACGTGGACAGATTTTGGGGGATTTTTCACATCAGTGCATCAGAATACATTCGGAAAAATTTGTACATTTAATAAACTATTTAAAAATTCCAATTATGTTTCAATATATTCATACCCAAAATACAATTTTTGAGCCTGTGAATGTAAAACCTGATGTGTTTTTGTCAATTTTCCACAACATTAATATCAACATAACCTTTCGGGTCATTTGTGATTTGAAAGTGTTTTTGAAAATGATTATGAACTGAACCTAAATCAGTTATGAATCAAATCAAACTGAATTAAGACCAAATTTCATCATGATCAGATATCTTGATTCATTACACTGATTTAATAACAATCTACATAAAAAAATCACTATCCTACCAAATATCAGTATTTTACAACAACAACAACAACAATAATAATACTAATATTATTATTATTATTATTATTGTAGATGCTGTTATATAGTTGATATACAATTAGTTTCTGTTAATACTTCTAACTAGATTTTATTTTTATATTTTCTGTTTTAATTTTAATTTGTGGTTTTGCCATTTTTTATGATTTTTTTTTTTTAGAATTCATACATAGTTTCAGTTTTAATTTATTTTAATCTTTAATTTTATTTATTTTGATTTAAACATTGATGTATTTTATTTCATTTCAGGTAATATTTTGTTATATTTTATTATATTATTTATTCTGTTTCAAATAACAGTATTTATTTATGTATATGTTATGCATTTAAATATATTTGTAATGACAGGCTGTCATTTAATACATTCAAAATATATTACATTTAAATGCAATACTGAATAACACACTACAGTTAAATTATAATCAGGTACTTTACATGTGCTTTAGTATGCTAGAAGTGTACTTCTTTAAAACACGACAACATGTTATTAAAACACATATTTTAATTTGACGTAATTACAAAGTTTAAAAGTCTACTTAAGTGTGTTAAACACTCATGAAAGTGGCTCTCTTTAAGTGGTGTTTTAGTTCACTAATATTATTATTTAAATATTATTTCATTAATATTATGCTATCTGCAAGTACAGTTTAATACATTTTTTAAGATTTGAAGTACACTACAAGTGCAAGTTTTTAAAAAAGCATTTTAAAGCTGTTCGGAAACAAAAGCAACACCACTATTGTCGCCTTCTAAGATACTTAAAACAACATTGCTTGTATCTCTTACAGAGACGGCAATCCCAGAATGCACTGCATGGCAGACGAAATTCAGAAAAATGTTGACTATAAATATACTATGAAGTAACACTAAAAACAGTTCAATCTAATTCCAAATGGAGTATTTCTCACAGTATTTGTGTTAGCATTGTTGCTAACGTGTTTCAATTGACTCTATTAGTATGCTGCCTACTGAGATAACAGACAGCAAGGCAGCTGCTAAAGCACGAGGTTTAGGAGCAGAGCTAGTGTGCACTTCAAAACCAGCGGCTCGCTGTTGTTTTTCCTCACATTTCCTGACGATAATGACTTGCATACGTGTGACATTCAGGAGCCTGATGCCAGGCTGAGTGTAATTTAGCTGCTGCGTGTGATCTGTGGTGCATTGTGGGAGTTGGGCCCACCTCAAGTGACCTGACGATAAACAGAAGACGGGGCAGAAGCAGCAGTTTTAGGTCAGTCAGGACGTCCAGCTGTGTTGAAGACGACTGTATCTGCTAATAAGGCAGAGCGACAGTAACTGCAACAAGCCTTTAAAACACCTGTAAAACATTTTAAACACGCTTTTTAAAGCGTTCACAAGCCCCTCGCTCCCCTTAACGGCTCTGTTGCACTTCCTGACATTAACATTTAAACGAGCTCCTCCAGCGGCCTCTGAGCCGGGACGGATCTGGGTTTCTTAAAGCAAGCGGCATACACATCACGTGGACAGATTTTGGGGGATTTTTCACATCAGTGCATCAGAATACATTCGGAAAAATTTGTACATTTAATAAACTATTTAAAAATTCCAATTATGTTTCAATATATTCATACCCAAAATACAATTTTTGAGCCTGTGAATGTAAAACCTGATGTGTTTTTGTCAATTTTCCACAACATTAATATCAACATAACCTTTCGGGTCATTTGTGATTTGAAAGTGTTTTTGAAAATGATTATGAACTGAACCTAAATCAGTTATGAATCAAATCAAACTGAATTAAGACCAAATTTCATCATGATCAGATATCTTGATTCATTACACTGATTTAATAACAATCTACATAAAAAAATCACTATCCTACCAAATATCAGTATTTTACAACAACAACAACAACAATAATAATACTAATATTATTATTATTATTATTATTGTAGATGCTGTTATATAGTTGATATACAATTAGTTTCTGTTAATACTTCTAACTAGATTTTATTTTTATATTTTCTGTTTTAATTTTAATTTGTGGTTTTGCCATTTTTTATGATTTTTTTTTTTTAGAATTCATACATAGTTTCAGTTTTAATTTATTTTAATCTTTAATTTTATTTATTTTGATTTAAACATTGATGTATTTTATTTCATTTCAGGTAATATTTTGTTATATTTTATTATATTATTTATTCTGTTTCAAATAACAGTATTTATTTATGTATTTATTTACATTTTATTTATTTTTACTTGTAATGGCTTTGGTTTTAGGTTTAGTTAATGATAATAACCGCATCAAATATGCATTTAAAGACAATAAAGGGTTGATTTATGTTCTGCATTTCCTAAAATGTCAGCTTATTACTTTGATAAGCTAAATTTGTTATTGACATAAATTGGTGTTACTCGATGTTCACATTCTTTTGCGGTTTTGTTCATAATTTACAGTATGTAAATATTATATATACATAAAAATGCATTAATTACTAAAAAACACTCAATCTTAGAATTAGATGTTTGATCAATTAGTCAGATTAGATAATGTTAATCTTAAAAGAGAAAAAAGAAACAGATATGTGACACATATTGCTCAACAAACGTGGCATGAATGCATGTGTGTTCAGAAACCTGCTCTAATGGCCAAGCAGCCCTTGCCTCAGCCCTGTTATTTCCTTATTTATTTATTTCTGATAGTTCCCGCAGAGCTCGCAAAATTAATGTCAGCCGGCAGAAAATAGACATCGAAAGCTAAAATTCAGCACTTTCTGCCCACAGAAGT